AAATTATTCCTAAAATATTAATACCTTGTAGGTCTGTAACGAAGCGTTTGAGAACAGGACATTTTAGTCATAAAATAAGCCATAGAAATACATGATATTTAAAAATACCCTGTGCAATAATAAAAGTTATAAAATTAATAACAATTAAGATTTATAAAGATAAAAAAATTAAAATAACTCTAAAGAAAACTTGTCTTTTACAAATTTCGGTGTAAATGGACTGTATGACTTTATTAACATTAAATAAACAAAATAACAACTGGTTATATAAACAAAACAAAACTAAACACCCCACAAAAATTATCGCATCACTAAAATTTTTGCAAAAGTTTGAATTATTTTTTATCTGAACCGTTTGATCGATTTGAATGTTCTTTTCTTTGGATGATAGGTTGATTCCTGAAGATTAATAATCTCTATAATTCTGTATATAAAATTTAATTTTTGAATGAATACTGGGTGTTGCCATAATATAAGTTTTTTGATAGAAAATTTGTAACACCCTGTGGAGTGTACCAGTAATAACAGCATATTGCAATTACTAGCCGACTTTAGCCTCATCTTTTCGCAAAATGTTCCTTTTTGGTTCGTTTTATTATCTCTATTTTTGGAGGAAATATGCGAAGAAACATAACACTATAACAAGAATGTTTATTAAATCTTTAACAAAACAAAATTAATTTTAAAAGCCTAATTTAAAATACAATAATTTTCAATACCGAGTGTTGCCTCCTCTCGCTGCAATTACAGCTTGCATTCGTCTTGGCATCCCTTCAAACAGGTTGTGGATATAGCCTTGATCCATATTGTTCCAAAACATAACCAATTTATTTTGAACCTCATCCAGTGTTCTACATGGAATACGATTTTGTTGAATTGCCCATCCTAAATGATCCCATACGTGTTCTATGGGATTCATGTCTGGACTGCGGGCTGGCCAATTCATTACAGTGACATTAACTTCATTTAGATAATCGATTACTATTATGGCCGTGTGTGGTCGTGCATTATCTTGCATGAATATGAAGTTCTCACCAACGAAAGGGCCATATGGGATCACATGAGGTTCCAGAATATCCCGTATGTATCGATCGGCCGTCACCGTTCCTTGATTAACTACCACTAGCTCTGTGCGTCCATGGTAGGATATTCCGCCCCATACCATAGTCGATCCGCCGCCAAAAATTTCCGTATGACGAAAGTTGACTTGAGAATAACGCTCACCTGGCCTTCGATAAACTGGCATACGTCTATCTAAGGAATATAGACAAAATCTGGATTCATCAGAAAATAGTACATTGGACCATTCTGCAAGACCCCATTCCACGTGCTCTCTAGCAAATTGTAACCTGGCAACCCTGTGCGCCCTAGTAAGAAGTGGACCTCTTGCTGGAACCATTGCTCGCAAATTATGTTCACGAAGGCGATTACTGACAGTTTGTAAAGATATGTTTACATTTCTAGCTGCTAGCAGGTTGTGTTGAAGCATTCGCGCAGTACAATGTCGAGTCCTTAAGGCCGTTACTCGTAAAAAGCGATCATCTACACCTGTAGTAATTCTTCTACGTCCTTGACCTTCTCTCCTAGAATATTGCCCGCTTTCTCTATAGCGCCTTACAACTCTTGAAATGGTACTTTGTTGAACCCCAATTACGTTAGCAACGTATCTTTGACTTCGTCCATCTTCAATCAGAGTAATTACTTTTACGGCCTGTTCTTCAGATAAGTGTCGTTGAACGTTCATTGTAATCCAGTTTAGTACACAGTTTAAATGTAAGTATTGTAAGAAATCACAATGAAAAGTGTTGAAATGTACCGCAAAAATTTATATACCAGCAAACTGTCAATTTGAATTTGGATGACGTTACGTATAATTTTTCATTTGTCAAAGCCTACCTTTCAGTTTATTCAATATATGCATGTAAACCTTTGTAAACTACCAATATGTGAGTCTGTAAAAAGAGACTGTGATAAAAAACTGCAAATCTCCTCTAAAAATAGAGATAATAAAACGAACCAAAAAGGAACATTTTACGAAAAGATGAGGCTAAAGTCGACTATTAATTGCAATACGCTGTTATTACTGGTACACCCCACAGGGTGTTACAAATTTTCTATCCAAAACCTTATATTATGGCAACACCCAGTATTCATTCAAAAAGAAAATTTTAAATACAGAATTATAGAGATTATTAATCTCCACGAATCAACCTATCATGCAAAAAGAAGAATATCCAAATCGATCAAACGGTTTAGAAAAAAAATAACTCCAAACTTTTGCTAACATTTTAGTGATGCGATAATTTGTGTGGGGTGTGTATATCAGCATTACACGACGCAGCGTGCACAGAACAATTACTTTTAGAATGGAAACTGCAATGTTAAAATTTGAGACAGTTTTGTAACACCCGGTGAGCGTTCTTTGAACTATTTGGCGGAAGTGGTGCCATCTCGCGGTCACTTTAGTTAACACAAAACGCGGGAACATTCAAAATGGTCATTCAATAATTTAGTTTAAAAGTGGTAGTCAAATTGATATTTGTTCATACCGACTCCTTTTTTACGTTTATTGTAGCAATAAAATTATATTTGTTACAATAAAGCAAAAAATGAGTAGTATAAACCAATCTAAACTTGACTACAAGTTGAAATATTTTTACAAAAAATTAAAAAGCATGATCAACAAAATTAATTTATTAAAACAAAAAAAAAACATACAAAATAGAATAATTAAATGTAGCGTGTTAATTAGTTGGAAAGTTAAGTCATTGTCCACAGAGGTTGAAGAGTTTTATCTAGAACAAAAAATAAATATTAATCAACTTATAAATCAAGAAGGGTACAGGAAGAAAAAAGCAGCTAAGCCACATTTTAAGTTTTCGGGCAGACCAAATTTATCCACCGATTGGTATTACTCAAAATGCTTTACTGACTAGACACAGATTGACAAGTCTCGACGTAAGACGAAAGTACTTCTCCATAATTACCCTCTACAAAGTTGTTAATTTAAAAATCAATTGTGAAGCTCTTTTACATATGCTTAATTTTAGAATCCCACGCGCAACCTCTCGAAACACTGAATCATTTTACATAGCGACTCCTCGGACAAACGTTCTGAAGTTTTCACCTGTATATAACATGTGTAATAATTATAATAATATTAGTGAACAGTTGGATATATTTAATTGCAATGTTAAAAACATAAAAACACATTGTTTAAAATAATTTAGAATTTATTTACTGTAATTTTAGATTAATTATCTATATGCTTTTTGTTAAACTGTTTTCTTTCAAATGTACGTCTGTTCTGTAATTGGGTTTAACCTGTTGAACAATGTATAAATAAATAAATAAATAATTTTTTATCAAAATTGAACTGGTCTGCCCTATTTTGTAAAATACCAGAATTAGCAAATGCAAAACAGTGCATTTAAAATTATGTCCAAGGACTTTCCTACTGTTTGTTTGTCATTTTCAGTATTTAGAATAAAACATTACAACTGTCTGGTAAATTAAGTGGTTAACTACAATACATATAATCAGGCAACATTTAAACAAAGTAACATCTTTTTGTAATCAATTACCTTAAAGTATCAAAAGTTTGTATTTAGTCAGTCTAAATTAAATTTGGTTTTCTGAACATTTTGGCAATTGTGACTTGGCCCCTTTTTTTCCTGAACCCTTCAAATCTGTTAGGGAGCACAGAAAGTGAGGCATGAATAAAAAAAGGTATACTGACCATTACTTCCCGGACTAGGCTATTTTGTCTTCCAATCCAATATTGCCATTCCAAACGGCTTGAAGAAAGTTTGTACTAGAACAAATAAAAAACAGTAAAAGTAACAATCTGAACTAAATCAATATAAAAATCAAATGTGAGGCATGAATACAAAAAGTACAGTGACTATTACTTCCCTGACTAGGCTGTTCTTGTCTTCAACGATGCAATACTGCCACTCCAAACGGCTTGAAAAAGTTTGCACTAGAACAAATAAAAATACAGTTAGATCGCTGCGTACACCAAGAACTTTAAACATATCTTCAAAATGTTTATTACGTACTAAATAGTTTTTACAAATTTGTTGTTTTATTCTTGAAAAACGGACTGGGAACACCCAATACTCAAATTTGAAATAAATCGTTATTAGGATTTCAGAGTGTTTACAAAACAATTTGGCATACAAAAATACGATATTTTACAGCTTTTATAAATAAAAATGACCACAAAATTTAAAATAAGCTCAATCGTCAGCAAGATCAAGTAAACAAATTGAACATTTAAAACACAATTGAACAAGACCAAGTTGACAATACAATAACCAATTATTTACAAAATACTTACTATTTATTCATCCAGGATCCAGAGCACACCCAAATACAAATAAATAATAATTATTTACAATATGATATTGATAATCACAAAAAATACAGGTAAAATGGCAAATGTCATTCACCGCGAGGTAATCGATAATGGATGCCTGACAATGACAAATGACACTCCCACTCTTTCCACCATCAATTGTAGATTTCTGTAAATTGTTGTGTACAGCGCCATCTAGAATCTATTATTTGAAACAAAAATATAGTTTCAGTTCGGGCTATTCCAGTTACCGATACCTGGCAGCGTGAAGCCGGTGAAGAGTACATTTTGTACATTCTTTAAGTAACAATGGCCGACTCGAGGTTCGGTCTTGCGCGTACTCTTGTATCAGCATTCTCAACGACACATCTCTGTGACAATAATTGTGCTCTTGACTAACAGAGGGCGCCACAGGTACTAATTGCTATTTTTATGAATTTACTAAAATATCAACAAACTCAAAAAAATATATATTAAAAAATACAGAAAATATATAAACAACATAAGAAAATATTATTATTAAAGTGGTAAGAATGTAAAAGGAAGTAGTTGTTTTCCGAAGGGAAACGGTCGCTCCTATTTTGTGTGACATATGACTTCATGATTTATTTATTTTATTTTATATATCTTTATGTTTTAGTGAAGGCCAAGACAGTAAACTTCCCGGGACTTCATCCTCTGACAGTAATGGTTTAATAGGTAGCCTTAAAAGAAGAAGACGAGATGTAAAAATTGTACACAATTACTGGTAAATTTATTTATTAAATCTTAGGTATAATTAAATATAATTAGGTATAATTAAATTTATCAGGGATTTAATTTTGGGAAATTAACACATTTTTAAATAAATATTGTAGATTAGATTAGATTAGATTGGGAGTTGGACGTTCTTTGTCCTTGTCCACCGCGACCTTTTCAGATCTATTGTGAGACTCCGTTTGTTTTTGAGTATGTCGTTTAGCTTGGTCTTTTTTATTAGACTTAGTAGCTTTGACATTGGCTCCCACATGTAGTTGCATGCGTTTGGCTTTTCTTCGCCCAATGTTAGAAATCTCATTCCAGCCAGGTCTTCACATTGGCACAGGACGTGGAATGATGTTTCCTCTTCTTCTTCACAGAACCTGCACAAAGTTGCTTCTCGGGCTAATTCGACAGTGTCTTTTCGTTGCCCTGATATCCCTCATGGCCTGGCACCCAGGCTAGGGTCACCTTGTTTTGACTACTTGGCTCTGCCATGTCTCCTAGACTCTTTTCTGGTGAGCGAATTGTCTTTAGAACTGCTTGGTTATTAGAATATATGGCAATAGTTTTACCTGATACTTGCTGATTTAATATTTCTCTTGCACAGTGTTGTATGGCTATTAGTTCAGCCTGGAACACTGTTGCATATTTTCCTAAACTCAGCGAAATCATTGTTTCCAACTTGAGTCCATAGATTCCAGCACCGGCTCCTTCCTTGGTTTTTGAACCGTCTGTGTACCAGACGAGTCCAGCCTGTACGAGAGGTCCCTGTTTCCAGGATTCCAAGCTGGTATTTGAATTTGAAAATTTCTTTCAAATTTGTGTGTGGTTATGGCTCTATCAGTAGGCATAGCTAGAATATTATCTCCTTTTACTTGCTGATATAGCCTTTTGTGGTCGGCGCTATGTAGTTGGCTTATTGGATTTTGTTCCTGCATTAGCCTGTGAATAGCTGACCTGGTTTCTCCTTGTATGAAGAAGTGCAGTGGCGTGAGATTTAATAATACCTCCATTGCTGCAGTCGGCGTAGTGCGCATCGCACTGAATACCAATGAGTTGGCCTATTGCACTTGCTGGGCAGTTTTGGTTACCCACGCCACTGCACCATAGGTTATCATGGGTCTTATTACCCTTGTGTATAACCATATGGTCATTTTTCCCCCACATATTCTTGTACAGCTTACGAGAGCTATTGTAGCTTTGTATGTGAGTTTTTTGGAGATGTTGATTACATGTCAGCTTTTGGTCAAATATGACTTCGAGGTATTTGGCTGCTGTGACGAATGGGATAACTATATTATTTAGTACTAGTGGTCTTAGTCCTGTAAGTACCCGTTTTTTTGTGAATGTTACAACTGTACTTCAGTAAGTTTAAGCATTGTACAGGGCGTTACAAAAATATGTACAGTAAATTTAATCACAATTTCTTCGATTTAAGTTAACTTGCTTAGATAAAAAATGGATAGTAAAAAACTAAAGTAGAAAGTGATTTTTTGAAATTCAGTTAAGAACAGGATGCCATTGAAATCCTATATCTGGTTTTATTTTTTTTGCCTCTTAGTATTTGTTTGTGAAAGCCTTAATTAATGAGTTATAGGCACCTGAAAGAAGGTCGTAGTAAAACATACAATTAAATTTTTCTATTGATCTATTGAATATTTGTTTTTATTTTATTTTTTATTATTTTACAACTTCATGGATGATCGATATTACAAGGGAATAATTGTAAATGAAGTTAAAAATAGTAAAAAAAAAAATCATGAATAATTTGAAGTCGAAATTTTGCGTTTAAAGTCGAAATTTCGCGTTTAAAGTAGAAATTTCGGGTTTAAAGTCGAAATTTCGCGTTTAAAATCGAAATTTTGAGTTTACAGTCGAAATTTCGAGATGAAACTCGAAATTTTGTGATTAAAAATGAAATTTCGAGTTTAAAGTTGAAATTTCGGGTTTAAAATCGAAATTTCGAGAATAAAGTCGAAATTTTCAGTTTGAAGTTGAAATTTCGTGTTTAAAGTCGAAATTTCGCGTTTAAAGACGAAATTTCGCGTTTAAAGACGAAATTTCGCGTTTAAAGACGAAATTTTGCGTTTAAAGTTGAAATTTCGAGTTTAAAGTCGAAATTTCGAGATTAAACTGGAAATTTCATGATTAAAATCGAAATTTCGAGCTTAAAGTCAAAATTTCTAGCTTAAAGTAAAAATTTCGAGATTAAATCCGAAATTTCGATATTAAAGCCGAAATTTCGATATTAAAGTAGAAATTTTTACTTGTAAATCGAAATTTATAAAAAAAATAGTATGTGGCCCTTCTACGCCTTCGTAAGAAACACCACTATTAATAATAAATCTTTATTTACCCTAGAGCGGTATCGTACGTAAAATTTACGTAAGGTTTGTAGCGAAAGGGCCCTCTCCACTAATTCTTTTGAGTCACGATTTTGAGCTTTCAGCTATGCCTCAGGAAACATTCACTTGTGATGATTTGTAGGTGCCAAAGTTGCAACTATTTAGCAAAAGAAGCTGTGGCTTGATTTTGAAAAGTATACACGTAAAAAATACTCATTGATACCAATAAGTAGTTATTTGTTGTACGTTTATCTGACGTGTCGCCAAGCTTAAAATTTTAGGCTTCGCTTATTTCTAAACGACTGTCGTGTTAATGGCTCTTTGCGCCTTTTACAATGTGATAAACATGGCTTGCATCAATTCAAACATAATTTAGTCACACAATGTTGAAGCATTAGGTGGTAAAACTTTAACACGTTTTGAGTACTTCACAAAAGTCTTATTAAACCATGGCAATCAAA